CGAGAGAAGGCTCTCCGTACCGGCGTTTAGGTGCAGTGCGCCTAACGGCCGTGGCTGTAGGTTTAGGCTTAGTAACCAAACCCCTCCCCTTGGAACCAGAGACCAACGAGCCTGCCCGAGAGGCAGAAGTCCTAAAGGCCCGACACACCTTCTTAGGACCGGCCGATAAGGCCCCCTAAGTAGCAGAATGTTGGGGGGGGGGGGGGGCAACAGACCTGCTAACACGTCTCCGCGAGGGAGAGACCAAACCCCAAGGATTCCACGACGGAAAGCCATGGGGTTAAACCCATATCCCGGAGGATAAGGGAAAGGTCCCCCGGGTTGGGAGTGACCCCAGAACTGGCCCAACTGGCCTGCCCGAGACTGGGGCTGGCCAACTTGCCCAAAGGGCGAAGGTGGACCGCCACTCCCTCCAGGTGGAAACCCGGACAAGTACGGGCTAAGCCCGTAACTGCCGGGATGCTGCCGCAACCCAAAACCATCCGCAGGCTGGTAAGGGCGGCCCAAGGATGGTTGACCGCAGGCACCCGTATACCCTAAGCCAGGGGAAAACGGAGGCCGGAAACCGGCCCCTTGTCCAGCAAACCCAACACCTGGGGGGAAAACCCCCGCAGGTTCCCCGAAGAATGAAACTCAGGACCGGACCTAATAGGACCGGGTCCGGGTAAGCCTGACCAGCATTGGTGCCGGGATTAGTGAACTGCGCGTCACTTATCCCGGTAGACACATGCAATCCCGAAAGAAAGTCTGTAGTCACACCAGGACCTGAACCCGAAAGAACAGGCCCGGCACCAAGACTGTCCCCAACGACAGCACCACCTGGAATGGCGGGATCACTGACAGAGTCAGTGACCGGCGGCCGGTAGTCCCTAACCGAAGGCAAGCGCGAAAGCTTACGGGCGTTCCCGGCCAATTCGACCCTTGGCTGTACCAAGCCAGGGTCGGGCTGCCCCTCCCCTAATCAAGGGAGTTCCTGGACAGGAAGGGCCACCCCCTGCTCACGAGAGGGACTCGCCGAAGCGAGCCCCCCCGATACAGGAACAGAGACAGTACCACCAGATCCCAGAGAGCTGGTGGCAAGACCCCTACCTCTCTGCTTCCCTCGCTTACCGGAAGAAACAGACGAATCTCTCTTACGGTAAGTTGAGGGTAGCTTTGGAACAATGAAGTCCTCGTCCTGACATTTAGTCTGTGAACAAAGTTCATAAGGCGAAACCTCACTGCAAGGACGACACATGGGACAAGCATCATGAGGGTCGCGTTCCAGAAAGAAATGGGAACACCCATGAGCTCTACCTCGTCGCTGTCCCGACCGAGACATACCCTCCAAAGCGAAAGTTAACAAAAATTTACAAGCAGATAACACGGGGAAAAATAATAAAATACGATAGTACAAAGTACGCAACGTAGAAAGAATTTCACCCGTAATATAAATCAGAAAGCGGTTAAAATAAATAGCGTTTGCCGAAACAAACAACCGTCACCGAAATAAACAAAGGTCGGAAATTAACCCACGATAATGGCGGAACGTGGCACACCACCGGCACACGTGGAGTAAAATAACCGGTCGTAAAAGGCACAAAAATAATTTTCAAAAATAATTAATTATATTAATAAGGGCAGATGGGTATAAGGCACACAAACTGCGCAAAAAATTGAGTCGACACTCTAACCAAACCGACAAAACAAAGTTTTGAAATGGAGCAAGCTCCGGGCGTCAGCAGGCAGCAGGCGCCATAAAAGGAAGAGGAAGGGAGATCACTCCGTGGCTCTGTCGTCGAGATATGGGTTACGTCACGGTAGGGAGGGAGGGATATTTGAATCTTTTGTTTTTGGGCTACAAAGATGGGTGTAGGTATTGTATATGCATACTAAAGTTATGGTAATTATTACTGAAATGAAATTGGCATATTAGCTAAATTGATATATTAAAGCTAAAGTCATCAATGGTAGATATAGATGTATGTTTAAATATGAAAGCATTATTTTCCAAATGTATTCAAGGGAACAACTGTAGAAATAAAAGAGATGATTTCTTTAAAGGCTGTTATATATGAGGAGGTGTTCAGAAATTTGACGTCAAAGGGAGGCGTGACCGACAAGTCAGAGACCTGATGTTGTTTGGGAGTATTATCTCAAAAAAAGTTTCAAATGTACAAACAGTATGTTGAGAATAGTTTATATGATAACACAAGAAAGGGGTCTACCACCTGGTAAATTATCTTGTGAAAAAGTATACTAAGTACAATACTTGAATATTTACGCTTAAATAAGTGTAATTTTTCCAACAAAAAGTGAAAACTAACAGTATGTTTTACATTGTGTCATTTTGACAGGTAAAGCAGATGTGTCCAAACCTGAGTTTTGAACGTACCGGAACAACAAAATCCATCAGAAAAAAAATGTCAAGACATTTGATGTTTTTGAAAACTTTACGTTCTGACAAGTAAGATTTGGATTTTTAGGTGCATCATCTATTTTCCAGTGAGAAGCTGCAGTACAAGTAAGTATAATCTGCATCTCAAAACAAAACTACAAAATTACACATCGTTGGAGTTCAATTTATGTCCTGGTTGTGTTAACAAATTGGGGACTTTGGATTGCTTGCAATACTTTGTTTTATTTTATAAGATTTGTCTGAGAGACCTAGTTTCCGTTTCAGCATACAAAAGCAACTAATTCTATAAATGAATGGCATTACTCTAACATGGTGATATTTCATTAAGATTTTAAGGAAACTTGTTATTCAGTTATATAATACCTCCTGCAACAAAGTTGTATGGGATTGGGGTTTACATTTTAATAGAATGTCTAATCGCCTGTCTGTAGACACATTGTTTTTTTCTGAAAAACTGCACTGATTTCAATATGGTAAACAGACCCCTTCCATAAAATGGCTGTGAATAAAGAATCTAGATTGGTGCTACCTCCTAAATATATGCCTTGTTTCGCACTTGTCCTTCTATAGCAGTGTTTGAACTTGTCGTTTTTATAATACAAGTTCTTTGGGAATCATTCATTTCAAAGACCATGTGACACTTCAGGAAAGATCCCTTATATCCCATGTATATATGTTAATACATTCATATTAAATTGACCTGTTCTTTTTATGGAGTTATGCCCCCCTCCCTGGAAAGAAGTATTATTATGGTTCTTTGCACAAGTGGGGTATTAATCTGCTATTCTTACAACAGTTCTAGTCGGAGAGTTGTTTGAATTTTTTATTTTTTATTTTTATATGACCGTCAAATTTGACGGTAGTATTATGGTATGGCGTTGTCCGTCCGTCCGGCGTAAATTTTGTTTGTCCGGCAATCCCCTCCTACATTTTTCGACTGATCTATTTGAAACTTAGTATACGTTATAATCATGATATGAAGTTGTGTCTCCCTTAAAAGAATTTTGATTCGACAATTTTTCCAAAAGTTATTGCCCTTTGTTCATTTGAGTATTTGAATTTTGTCCGAAGATCTCCTCCTACATTTATCGACTGATCTCTTATTGTATTAAGCCTGAAATGATATTGTATATTTATTCAATTTTCAGTACTGAAGTATATTTATTCTGTGACGGTCATGCTGTGGCAATAGCAGCTGTTATAAGCTACCCTGTTGTGAAAAATGGTATGTTTATGAGCGATTCAATATTTCAATGATATACTGCATGTTCCCTTATCCAGGGAAATGCCTTGATAAATGTTTGAAAATATACAGTTTTCATAAAAGCAATCTTCTTGGCTGCATTCAGCTTGTGAAATTATGTTCGAGTGATAAAAAAAAAACACGACTAGCGTTAGGTAGTAAAGGAGTTTGGCTGGCTATAACTGACATACATATTGTACAAAGAAATTTCACTTTTGACAATACATCTGCCAATCAAACTCCATGGCAGTTGTACTGTCAGCGTTTGTGTACACGGCATGATCAACGGTGATTATAGGCTAGTGTTGATTGGATGTCTTAAAATATATATGAACCCTTAAATAATAATAATAAAAATAATTAAAGAGTCACATATCCATTCACAATTTAAATTTTCAAGTTAAAACAAAATTGATACAATCAATCATACCAAAAAAAAAAATCATAAGAACCACTTATATATTCAACAACATTTTGCACATACTTGTACAATTATACCCTCTCGTCAAATACAGCTTTTTATACATTACATACCAAATCAACCCACTTCATACATGCCCTAACTTTCTAGTGTTTCCCAGTGCACCGATAGTCGCCTATCTTGATAAAGGAGCGGATCGCGCCGAAAATTTGACAACCTTAACTTGTCCACACTGTAGTGGAATTACTTCTTTGCCCCATATACTATTTTAAGTAATTCGTATCCTACGGACATATACCTGCGTTACTTAGGATCCAGTGTTATATGGGATTTTACCGTCTATATTACTTTTTTGACCCATGCATATATATATATATATAGGCCTATACCAAGGTAACTCACAAGGTAGTTTGATGGCTGCTAGCGTGCGTATGCTGCTGCTTTCTACAAAATAACTCGCTGTTCCCGGTAAACGAAACAAAAAGCATTTTTTTCACTCTTTTTGCATTTTAACTTATAAGTTATGTTTTCTCATTTTGATAACCATATTTACCAATACAAATTAAATTATAAAAACTTGTTTTATGTGTTAATTTCATATTTTTTGCGATAAAAACACACAATTGTCGATTTACTATTTTCATTTATTCAAACAGGGATGTGTGGTCCACTACACATCCCTGTTCAAAACCAAAAAAATGGAAAATTTGAAAATTTGCAACAACAACTCTTTTTTGTTTTATAATGGAACTAAATTGATACTAGTGCGAAATAACTGACTATCTCATTTTAAAAGTATTTTGGTTGGCCGCCTGATCATAAAACATTGATACGCCGCGGAATACTATATTTTCCGTATATTCTGTACCTTTTTGGCTCTTCTAATTAGAAAAGTTATCCATGGGCCAATAAAATGTTTGCATTGCACGTCGGATTATGAACCGCCAGCAAAGTTATTAATCGACGCTGATCGCAGAAATTTGAAAGCATGCAAGAGAAATCAAAAGAAAACCCGATCGTTTTCTTCGACATAACCATCGGTAACACAGTGAGTATTTAATACGTTGGCTTTCCGGGTTAGTAATATACGTGCACATCTCAGTCGATGTGAATTAAGTACCAGTTAAACACGATACAGTCATCTGTGCGCGGTCACCTGTCCGGCTAACTGTACAGCACGAGCCTGTTTCTCCTAAATATAGAAAAGTCTTATATACTTCAACTTCCACAGGATACTCTAAAACGTTCAATAATCTGAACATTATTTAGAGGCGTCAGAAAGATCGGTTAAAGACAAGTAATTTTTATTATGTACGATAAAATATACAGAACGTGTGTGTTTTAGTCGTAAAATCACCTAAACAGACAATATTGCGGATATAAGGTGAGTTGACTTATTGAGCAGTTCCATTTATCATTGTACTTATGTGTGCTCTCTTTTAGAATGATCCACAGTCACGCTACACCAATATGACGCATCACATATTAGATTGAAGTTGACTGATTGTGCTACAGTACTACGACCACATTGACAGTAATAGAATCATCATTTGGTTCTTGTTTTATCCAAGAATACCAGTATATAACCCCTACCCCTCCCTGTTCATAATAATATGTATTATCACGGACTTAGATATCTAATCTAATTCTGTGGTATTATTTTTTTTTTGCCATTTGAAAAAAAAAATAGAATAAAAATGATAATGCGAGTTTAAATTTAGGCAGAATGTTTAAACAAATGGTTTGAGCTGATATGCCAATCTATGAAGGGTGAATCTGTTTTTAATTTAGATATATTCAGCATGTTAGACACAGCAGGTTAGAGACTGTCATGTCTCCCACCACTATAAGTATAAAATGAAGATTTTAGATTTTTCTTTTTAATAATTCAGATAATCCACGTGAAATGAGGAAATTTAATGTTTGTACTGATTATATATATACGTTAAAAATTCCAGGTATCTACAGCAGGAGATTCCTCCTCTTCATCGTCGCTGTTGTCATCAAGTTTTTGTAGATATCTACTGTAGAGATAGATTGGCAGCTAAAACCATTTCTTTGCAAGTGAAGTTTCAGTGATGATTGAGTTGATGGCATTGATGTCAGTTTCATGATGGACTTGTTGTTCTTGAGTCAATATTGGTGTTAAATGTGGTTGAATAAAAATAATTGCCATCACCAGGTACATCATATGCAGAATAGTTTTTATTTTGATTAGAAGTGGTTGCCGACAGTCGCATAATATGCAAACTGTTAACAAAAATAAAAGTGGTGAAAATATAATGTTTTTAATTCTCTTCTTTATTTATAATCATAAAGCAGAGCAAACTAATGTGTTCACTTCAATGTCTAATCAAAATGCTGTAATGATTTACGCAGTTGAACGGAAGTACAAATTGTCAAGTGTATAAAGTATATATTTATCTAAGTACATGTATCAATAAAGATATTTTACTGTACAAAACTGTACAGATAATTTTTGTCTTTTTAAGTGATTGTTAATTTGGTTGAATTAGATGAGACTAGATTCAATATATTGTACAAGCAGATCTAGCATTGAAATTCCACAGTTTTTGTTGTAAAATCTACTGTAGAAAATGTAATATCACAAATTTGGATCAAATTAAATATCAACAGAAACGATCCCCAAATGGAAAAATTAATAAGAACTGAATATACAGTTGCCGTTCTACGATAAATGCAAAAAAAACAAGAGTAGTAATACTGAAAAATCTGCAGTTTGACCCTTTGAGTTTGAAACACTGTACGTATTCCATTGGAAAGATGTTGGTGACAATAGGAGACGACCCGTGAACTTTGACCTCTTCAATGAACCAAGCGACCTTGTCATTGACCCTGCTTCGTACATACTTGGGTATTTCCGTCCTAGTGGGAATGACCCTCGTGTATTACGATCGATTATCAATATTTAGGTGGAAAATGTGTATGTTTAGAAAGTTGACGGTATCAAATTATGTATTTCTTTCCAAAATTTAAGCTAATTTTATCGACAGTAATACAGTTTATCATCTAATCACATTCTTACACACTCTTCGACGCCATTAGCTTGTGACATTCATGTAAGCTTTTTAATGACCATGCCGATGATTTATCTTTTCGTTACAAAAGGAAAGAAATTGTGGAAATTAACACGCCCAGTGTATTGAATATGGTCAATATTTTTTTGAAATTCGTTACATTTCGATTAGGCATATTTACGGGCTCCATGAACCGGAACAGGTCACCGGAAGTACGAAAAGTTTTGAGGCTGTAGCTGTACGATTTAGTGATGGAAGTTTGGATCGGATCTATTTACACGCACATGTTACCGGTAAAGAGCTCTGCTCGGGTGCCTATGGCACCCTAGAGCTTCGCTCTTATTAACTTTAAATATACATTGTGTAAATTTTATTGCTTCACAAAGTAAAACAAGTACAGTAAAACTTTACATATTTCTGGAATCAGCATCATTGTAACTCAAGAATTATATCTTGTTACCTCAAAAATTGCACGTATTTGAAGTTAGGCATTTCTGTCTAGTATGAACATTTACACAGTCACTTTGTATCTGTAGGTAGTTGGTCGCATCAAGTTTGAACTGTTTGCTGATGTTGTTCCAAGAACTGCTGAAAATTTCAGGTGTAGTATTCTGTATAATTTGTATAAATTTAGTTTCAAACATGTATTTATGATAACGGTCAGATTAGGCATTTGATTTATGCTTCCTGAAGCTAGATTTTTTTTCTATATTTTGGATAATTACATGTACATGTAAATATTTGATATGAATGACTCATTTTAAGACAGATTTATTTTTCATTTACTTGAACAGTCACATATGGTTGATGTTAAGCGAATTAACCTACATGTATTTTGTGACAAAAAATCGTAAAGTATTTAGTTTGGGCATCAGATATGTTGTGACTGACTGTACACCACTATTATGATTTATGATTTTGTGTGTTGTTGGTATGTTCAGACAGCTGTGTACGGGAGAGTACAGAAGAGATGGAGTACCTATTGGCTACAAAGGTTGTATATTCCACAGGTAAGACATTAAACATACTTGTAAGTCAGATTTTGTTGAGCATTACACTGCCAACATCTCAATATGAAAGGGAAGTTAAGAGGAACTCCAAATATTCAATTTCAATTATAAAATATCAATTCCTTTATATTTTCAATGTATATGCCTGCTTGGTATGCAACTTTCATAGGCAGTTCTTAGTTAACTCTGATCAATACAAGTTGTATATAGTTCACCCTTAATATGACATTGAACAATTTCAGTAGTCAAACAACCTTTTCCCTGAAATATGAAGGGTCAGAACACATGTTAAATAGCCTACTGTATATATACTCATATCCTTTTAAGCTCAAGAGTCAAATTTCATACATAACCTGATATATATATATACAAACAGTTGTGTGAACAAATAACACACCAAAAATGTGCGTGCGCACCCTCTGCACATTGTGCGCATGACCGTGCGATTTAACAATCGTTCACCCTGCTGTGCGCTTCTCTCTGCACAAATGTGCGATATGGTACAATTGGTTGGTCAAGATTACATAATGAAAAAATCTAAAAGGCTTGTATAAAATAAGGTACACAAGTACTGCATGCATTAATTTCTCATCACAATAATTAAGATTATGTTTAATTGTACAATGCCTGTTATACAGAATTACAAAAAAGCACTGAAAACACCATTTCTAGGTTTTAAAAGATATAAAAACAAAGATAATTAATATAGATGAAGCTAAATAGAATAAAGAAACATACTTAAAAAATCAAGTTCATATGTTTTAACATGAAACCGTAAATATTGTTACAACCATTCTTCAATTTACCCAAACCACGATTGTTTTTGCACAAAGTTTTCCCGTCATGTGCACGAGCAATAATTGTCAAGATTTTATTATGTGCACACACAACACATCATGTGACATTGTACATTGTGCGATCACACAACTGTACATTTAGCTCCAATCCTGGTTTGTTACATTTTGGTGGTCAAGGGTAAAGGGTCAAAGGTCAATGGCAATGCATCCACCTGTAGTAAAAAGCTTGTGTACAAGTTATCTCAAGAACCCCCAAACACACTCAGTTGAAATTTACACCATATATAGCATAGTGTTACAGGAAAGAGAATAGTGTGCTTCCACTGGGGATCAAAACCTCAAACTCCAGATTCCTAGTAGGATGCTCTACCACTATGCTAAAGGGAAATAACCTCTAGCTTGAAGCTAGAAGGTGACCTTAATTAATCCTATGTACAATTAAAACCTGGCACACTGCTGCCCCCTTTTTAAATGTGTTTGCCTTTGAACACCACAACCTATGTTCTAACTCCATGTCACCACAGGGAGGGTCACAGACACCATTTTTAACAGGAAAGAGAATAGTGTGCTTCCACCGGGTATCGAACCCTCGCTCTCCAGGTTCCTAGTCGGACGCTCTACCACTGAGCCAAAGGGAAATTCTGTCTAGCTGAATGCTTTATACGATTAAAATCTGCCACAATAGTAATATGGAACTTTGTATGTGTTTAGAATTTTGGTGGTCATTGGTATATGTTAAAGGTCAAAGATCACGGACAAGATCACACTTTACCACTATAGAATTCAAATTAAGCCCATTCTGTACAAGATATCTCACAAACCCTTCAACAAATTTAGTTAATATTTACTCCAATATAAGTATGATTACATTATGTTCTACAAGTACTCTTGATTACACAGAACCTGCTGTTGTGTGTCTTCCTATATGTTGGACACATGTAACCTTTGATTATTGTAGATGTAGATGTGAACAGTATATATGCATAAATATCTGAATATCTTATGGGTTCACTTTATAAAAGATGAGAACATTTATTACATTTCCCTTTTTTCAGAATCATCAAAGACTTTATGGTACAAGGTGGGGACTTTGTAAATGTAAGTGACTTTCTTTATTTCCTTCACACGAAATGTCGTACATGTTTGAAATATATGCAGCACTGATTGTTTAGCAAATGTTTCATATTCTATTTACCAGTTTTTGTAACCCTGTGATAATTTTGCAATTAACAAATAAGATCATTTATGTAAACGAACAGCCTTACTGTCTGCAGAATGTTTTTCAAAAGAGAGATGTATTGAGAAAATATATATATATATATTTGCAGACTTCGAAATAATTGCCAATTTAATAAAATATAATTAAAGGTGATTTAAGTGTGTGTGATAAAAAAAACTTATAAAATCATTACCTTGAAACAATTGAATATATTTGTGCTTCATTTCTGTATGAATCTTGATTTTTATCAGTAATACATGGCCAGTATTTCTTTTCTTTCCTTATACAGCAAGATGGTACTGGTGTGGCCAGTATTTATGGTGGTACATTTGCTGATGAAAACTTCAAACAGAGTCACAGTGGACCAGGCATGCTTTCTTTGGTATATATATATGGACTGCTTTAGTTAACACATTTACACTTTATAATAAATGGCTGTTTGCATTTTGTAGGCCATTACTATTGGGTGATTACAGTACGGTTGCATCTTAATTATATTGTGAAACAAATCATCAGGTGTAGAGCCAACGCCGTACTTCTGATCTAGGTTCTGTAGGTTTTGTTATCCGTTATCTGACATACAATAAAGAAACCAACCTATCCTGAGCTTGTTGCGATTGAATATTGCCTTTAATTATATTGTATTTTATTGTGATATTTTCTTGCATATCATATCAAATTGTTTTGTTGTCTGTATCGCGATACACTCAAACAGTACTTAAATTATCAATCTATTGTTATCAAAGTCTTTTCTTTTTTTTGGTCTTGGTTGAAATATTGTCTGGACAGTTTGTACTGACACTGAGCATGACAGGAAGTTAAACTGTTTTCAGTAATTTCCTCAATATATCTAGGTCAGCTGAAAATGAAATGTCTAGACAGGTTATACAAAATAAAGATGGTGGTTAGCAAGGCTAATCGACAATCAAATTAAATTTCAAGTTTTTACTTGCTATACATGTATATCTTAGCTATGTAAAATTGAGACAATAACTGGAAATTAGTATGAATAAAATGTATGTTTGCCTAATATTCAATAATGTCTACCATCTATTCCGTCTTTGCGTATTGCAGAGTTATCTTCTCTTGGGAGCAGGTATTGATTGTTACGTCATTGGTTTGTGTGAGAAAATGACGTCGTTTTCTCAAAAATTGATGACGTTACTCTCACAAAAAAGTGACGTAACAATCAATACCTGCTCCCAAGAGAAGATAACTCTGCAATACGCAAAGGTGGAATACGCGACACTATTGTGCTTACCGGTATGTTAGACACATGCATTTTAACATTATGCATAATGCATTACGTATTCTACATGAATGTGAAAACACAATCCCCCACCCACCTACCTTTCCCAATATAAACCTTACTTTCACTCGAAACAACAAACTTTTACCCCAACAAAATTAAAAGGTTTTCGGCAGACATAATTCTTTGTAGTTGAAACTATTTTCATCAATGATTTTGTTATGAACACTGTATACAGAGAAATTTTGTGCCCAGTCAATCTTTCACTCTTCACGCAAGAAATTAGTTTTTCGCCCCTTGTTATTTTTGGTCCTCACATTTCATTACTATGTTTATTAGTTTTACAGCCAAATGAAGGGTGTACCCTTAAGCAAAGAAGTGCTTTATTTACCCAAAAGGAAGCATATCTTCCCAATTTCAATAAAAATAATTCTTTATTCTCTCAATTCTTGTGGGAACAGACTATTGAAAATTTGGATTTAAAAAACACTGTATATTCGCTGTAATGATAAATTTGCCCGCATTACAGAAGCCGACAAAGGCTAAAATTTCACGGTATACAGTACATTGTGTTATCCTGTGTAGTGAAGAGGATGAACCACTACTTCACATTTAGTGATACATATATATACTGCTATCTCTTACAGGCTAACAGCGGTAAGGACAGTAATGGCTGCCAATTCTTTATCACATGTGCAGCCTGTGATTTCCTGGACTGTAAACATGTTGTATTTGGTAAGTAGATCTTTAGATACAAGGGTAAATGGAGAAACTACATGGGTGCTGGCAATCAACCCAGTCCAGTTCTACTACACAAGTCCTGGTAGTATATTTCACTTAATATCACATCGCTTAATGTCATTTTCGGTTATTATCATGTTTTCTTGATGCACTGGTTTTTCCTGCTATATAATCTATGTTATTCAATTCTTTTGTTATCACTTGTTATGATGTCAATTTCGCTTAATATGATTTTATTTTGGCTGCTGTCAAAAAATAATCATTGGTAAATGAAGATAAGAAACAATTATTTATGTCCCAGGGATCTGGTGTCCCACCTGGACGCGATATGTAAACAACATCACAACCTAACAATGTTTTTTTCACACATGGCTGACTGCCGAACAATATAGATCGACCTCACTTACCTGTAAGGTCCACCAGACAACCAGTTTTAAGTCTGATAGGTATATCTGTGTTGGAACAAAATCACTTATGTATTGAAATGCATGTGTTTGTTTCATCTTTAATTACTGCTAAAGTATCGTGTGTGACTGTCATTATGTTGGCTTACAAGAAAATGGTTTCTGTGAACATGAGGGACTCGATGTTGTTACAAAATAAAACATTATTTAACTACAATGCTACAATAAAAAGTGCTGCAAATAATCGAAACCTTGACAAGTTTCACATAATTTACAACAGATCGCTTTTGTTATGGTTTTTTAAAGATCAAAGCTTAAGCAACGTCAAACACCATACCGACAGGTGTGAATCTGATTCGCGAGCGGATATGTTTGCGTTTCACAACTATAAATGTGAAAAATAAAATACACAATACAACATTCAAACTCAAAGATCATTCCACGTAATGTGTAGGTTTTGACGGAATCAAAATATCCTATAAAATCTGGGAAACAACAACACTTCTTAACGTGGAACCCAACCTGCCATTATCAATAAATCAAATGATTCATTTCCGTTAACATGGCATATCATATTAAATGTTTAAATTCGAGCAAGTCATTGGATATACAGTTTAGGATAACAAAATAACATTAATGTTCTAAGCTGGTGTTGTTTTGTTGAATCCTTGTTTAAAAATATCATAAGCACAGTTTAGACCCATTTTCGACTGGGTTTTCTTTAACCATGTTTCATGGCATCTGATTGGTCAAAAAAAAATATGCAATGACACAACATCCAATTAAATGACATGTTTCAAAAGTTCACATACAGTTCATCACTAGCTCATTCATGTTCTCTGGACTCTAAGAAAAACAATATAAGCTTCAAAACTTAAGTGCATGATTAAATTATCTAATTTACAAAGATATTTTTAAAATTGAAGCATTGAGAAGATTAATGTTAATTTGCACCAACACAATATTCTTTATGACTGAATTTGGCGCAGAATAAAGACTAGCAGCCGACGACAACTACTGCCGATCTAGGCCTTTTGATCTGATCACGTACCATTAACTCATTCACCCCTGAAGACACATTTGAGCTCTTCCAATTCAAAGGTTGGAATAGTTCATTATGAAATTTCAAGGGTAAATAAGAGCATTACTGGAATCAAGCAAGTGTTTTAGCTGCAAATTTCAATGAAATAAACAAATATAAATTAAAACAATTGATAAAAAAGCTGTGCCAGTTACAAATATATTTACTAACCCAATCTTCTTTGCAACACCATGTCACTTCAACATTTCTCTTTATGTCACACTCCAGTTAATATCATGTTTTTTTCTGACAAAAAGAGTAACAATGTTAAGTAAAATCTACTGTTATACAGTTCAAAACAAGAGCACTACACATGTTCATATACAATGTTTGAATTTTTTGTTGCAAGGCTGCATCAGAAGGAATCTTAGTATGACACTTTGTACTTTGATGTTTTTCCCAAAAAAAAAACATTCTGAAAGTGTGACATGTATTACTGAAATCTTGAAGGTCAAATATCAGGACCGTTTACAATGAAATAACAGCAGCATACTTTAGTTGCCAGTGAAATATATTTCCCTTTCACCAATATGTTATAGGCATGTAATACTCCAATGTGCAGTGATGTTTTTTTGTAATAACAAAAAGAATTGCTGTAAATTTATCTCAATATTTAATCCCCATCTCCCGTCAATTAATGCTCATTATTAGCTCCTGCAATGAAGTTTTGCAGGAATATTCTGTCTTTAGACACAATGTTGTTTGTACTACTACTCTTAAAGCAATGCACCAATTTCAATAATACATCATACACAGAACTCTAACATAGAGGGGATGTGAATAAAGTATATAGATTAGAGTTACCTCCCTAATGAATGGAGTTATGCCCCTTTGTTGAAAAAAACATTGTTATCACTACTTCTCCAAAAGTATTGCACCCATCTGAATGATATTTGCTACACATAATGCTTATTTTAGGGGATGTGATCAACCATTAAAACATAGAGCTGCCTCCTCTATGGATAGAGCTATGCCCTTTGTTCTAAAATGTTATTTGCACTTGTCCTTCCAAAAATATCCACTGTGCTTGGTGCACAGCACCCTTACATCGAGGGATGTAGATACCATATTTATGGAGTTGAAACAGACATAATATTCTTAGCAGATTTCACTCTCTAAAACAATTCTTTGTTTCTGCTTTCTGTTTTCACCTTAGGTTTTCATGCATAATTCTATTTTAGTATTTTTAGACGAGCATCCATAAATTCTAAATGCAGTTCCTGTATATAACCATAGAGACTTACAAAAGCAAGATTTTATCTACCTATTTACGCAAAGTTTTCGTAGCCAAAAGTAGAACAATCAATTTAATTTGTTTGTGGTACTCATGCTGTTTATATTGATGTCTCGTTACAGGGTTTGTGGTACTCGTGCTGTTTATATTGATGTCTCGTTACAGGGTTTGTGGTACTCATGCTGTTTATATTGATGTCTCGTTACAGGGAAGGTGATTGATGGTCTGCTAGTTCTACGTAAGATTGAAAATGTACCGACAGGACCAAATAACAAACCAAGGATTGCGGTGATCATCTCAGAGTGTGGGGAAATGTGACACATCCCCAAATCAATGACACAAATTGACGCATTAACAGCGAGGCCACTATGAACTGCGGGTACACGTGTAACATGAATTCGTCAGAAATTTGTGAAGACATTAGACATTGACATCAAGGCTGTAAGTCAATCTCTGCCCACAACATCACTTCTCTCAACCATAATGAAGAGATGGAAGGAAAATGTGAAGGCTTGGCCTTGTCTTTGTGACTCTCAATCATTTCCAGAAAGAATTATGTAGTGTATAACACGTTATGTGGATACTTTCCTTCGTGGTTTGAAACCATTTAGATTGTTTCGTAGTACAAACTTATGTGGATATCATTTACTAACAAACAGTAGACACATATATCATTCTTATTTTTTGTGTTTATTTTTGCAGTCCAATAGCAACCACGAAAAACACCATGGCATTGTTTATACACAATGAACATTTCATGTTATACAGTACAATGTATTACTATTAAAAATAGATTCTGATATTAAACCTCATGTAGTCATCATGTAAATGTCAGACTAGACCTTGAAAAAAAAGGTAATTCTGTATGGCAGGGGTTTTCTGAGGAATGTTAACACGTTTTTTCTCAAATTAAATTAGTTCTGTCATACATTCATTTGTATCCAATAATTCTGTGCGTTATATTATTGTCAGGATTGTTGTAGCGTTTATGACTTAAAAAAATAGCAAGCCGCTCTGAAAAAAATAATTGGTATATACATGTATATATCACTGTCAATGAAGTGCTAGGTGTATGCACTTGATGTTATCACTATCAATGAAGTTAACTTGAAGATAAAGGATATAGGTTTTGAAGGCAATATATATAACAAAAGAGGAAGAATTGCATCTACCATAAGCATATTAATTTCTTTTACCTTTCTCAAGAAAATGCATTCAATCTTCATATATTTAATATCATTGTTTCAATAAAAAACATTTCATAGACTATATTAACTTTCATATATCAGCTTTGGTCTCATAGACCATCTAAAAAACCTTTTGGACACAGAGTTCAGTTTTCACATTAAGGTTATGAAAGTTTTTATATTAAGGATGAACATAATATGTTACACATTTTCACTTTATACTTTACATTTCTGAATTATTACGTACTCTTTCCATCAGTAAACTAAAATTGAATATTTTTATACTCTGACGACAATTTCATTATGTTGAATAATATATTTCTATTCAAAGCTGTCAATGCCAGATTTATTTTGATTTTTCAAGTCTGGGGGATAAATGAATCAATTTCTGTTATTTTCTGTTTGTATTTACGTTTACTTCGGATTTAATGTACCGATCGTGAGATTCATATTCTGTTTATACCAAAATCACTAATAAATACAAAATGCTGTGCAACCATCCAAAGTTTGATGCGCAAAGGTGTAACATATGTTCATACGAAAGTACAATGTTTCACGTATCGGGTTGAATGAACTACTTTGGTGTACTGCCGTTGATCTTAACTGACTTAGACATTTATGCAGGTAATCTGTCCATACTTAAACATAATTTTCATATGCTAATTGTAAAGTGGGATGTCTCTCCACCATGTTTATTATAAAGTAAGCATGATGTACATTTTTAATGTAATAAATAATAAAACAATTATGGAGTGTACTTGTGCTTGTATCATTAGCAGCATTTCAAATTATTTGATATATATTTTTGGCGGATTGGTGGAGTGGTTAACACTCCGGCCTTCCACACAGCCGGCCAGGGTTCGATCCCCGAAGTCAGCGTACACATGGATATATAGAGAAAGTGTTTTTCTCCTGCCCACACGACCCAGGTGTAGTATAAATTGGTCTAGGGTGGATGTTGAGGTATCTGTGCTGTCGTATTCAAGTGAGGTGGCACTATAAATGATGCCGTTGGAAATACGGTCCCACTACAAACAGAACACATTACATCTCCAGCACACACGCAGGCATACACACATAGGGAGATATTAGCTAGGTGGCATAGGACTAATAGTAGTAGTTAGCGCCTGATAAGGCAGCTCCTATGAATTCCTTAAAAAATTGTATTGATTAATGTATATGCTAATCGTATTAATTGTATATCTATGTACTGTAAAGCGCTTTAGAGTGGCTTATGTTAGCTACATAGGGCGCTATATCAAAAGTATATTTATTACAAACGGGGGATATTAATTTGGGTTTGTCCGTCTGTCTGTAATGCTTCGTTTCCGTGCAATAACTACAACTTGGTCACAGGGTTAAATACCATAAGGGCTCGGCCAAGTTCGATGACCACCTTCCGCAGACCTCATTTAGCGGAGTTATGGCCCCTTGAATAATGAAAAATGTCAATATCTGCCGCGCTTCGTTTCCGTGCAATAACTATAACAAATGATATCCCATTTTCTTCACATTTGGTCACAAGGTTAAATATCTTAAGGGCTTGGCAAAGTTCATTATCTGCTGCGTTTCGTTTCCGTGCAATAACTACAACAAATGTTAACCGATTTTCTTCAAACTTGGTACCAGGGTTTAATGTCCTATAATAAGGGCTCGACCAAGTTTGATGACCACTTTCAGCGGACCCGATTTGGCAGAGTTATGGCCCCTTGAATAACGAAAAACGTCATTATCTGCTGCGTTTCGTTTCCGTGCAATAACTACAACAAATGTTAACCGATTTTCTTCAAACTTAGTAACATGGTTCAACGCATTAATGACTCGACCAAGTTTGACAACCACATTAATCGGACTCCATTTGAAAGAGTCATTATCTGTAGTTTCCGCTTTATAACTCTAGCAAATATTAGATACGGCTTTTTTCTTCTCTGAGTTTCAAGCTATACATTATGTCTCAACAGCACGATACTCACATGTTTAAACCTAACCTCAATAATGTTTACCTACAATAAGTCCTGAAAGCGAGGGATATAAATTCCTCGAATTTGCTTGTTTATTCATATAGCGCCCTATAGTTATGTACATACATGTAGCTAGGATAAGCTGCGGAATACAAGCTCTTTGTAGCTTATAATTATGTTGTATGTTTTGCAAGTCAATGTAAAATAAATTTTCTTGTATCTTGAAATGATTAATTAATCTAACCTAACCCTTTCACCCCTAAGTAACTTTAGCAGACTTTACCATAAATTTATCTTGGCGAGTCCATTTTGGTCTACAGTGGTGAAAGGGCTAAGTGTCAACAAAGCCGTAATTTGAACTCGAAATCGTCATAAGCAGCTAAATATATGACCAAAGGAAAGATTTACATGGAGACAATTAAAGGTACAATGGGAATGAAACAAAGGGTTAGGAAGGGTAAGCGTCTTCTGCTATATTGACGACACCCGCCGTGTAATTCTTCAGTCGAATCCATGTAATGTCACATCCAAATAACGAGAGCATTTACAAAATAATCGAAGACATCGACCTTCATATCACACATGATGACGACCATAAAACTTATCCACAATTTTCATCAAACTCCATCTTTTGAAACCCTGTGTTGTACGCCTGTCCGTAAGTAGTCGTCATATTATCATGCAAGTCCTGATATTCGGGGCAAGCTCTTGAATACTGAATCAACTGCAGCATGTAAGCATCATAGGTAGACGAAGCAGGGATGTTATAGTCAACAAAAGGAAAGTTTGCGATAGGAAAATCGAAATCGTTCTGTTTATCTTACAGCTCTTTCAGTGAAAGTGTTTTCGGAAATGTATTAGAAGCAGTCCTAATTATAAGTGTTCTGGTGACAGTTCTTTTGCTTTTGTCTTTCTAAGCAAGCAAATTGTCAGATTTTCAAAAAAAATGACATATTGAAGGAAACTTAAAATCGTCATTTCCTAAATATACAGCCAAACGTCAAAAGTCTCTCTCTTTACGTCAGTTTCCCATTGGATTCTATGTTAATTTACTTTTTTCCCCAAAAAATATTTTCGCAACATCGTTTGCCATCCTATAGAAATAAAGTTTGATATCCTGTGTAGAGAGTTATCCAATGTTTCTTCTGGGAATTGTTGTATGAAAAAAGCCCTAGGTAATCTCGTTTAATGCCGTTTCAAATCTCAATATGGAACACTAGTTTCTTATCGTGGTAAGTTGTGGAAAGTGCAGATTTTGCCGCCCGATCAATGCGTTCAATTCCACCGGTGTCCCGCTGTATAAAGAGCATTTTTTTCATCAGAATATTTTTGAAGTTATGATGGTTAAGACGTTAAAGAATCAAAAGTATATTCGGTGTATATACATGTACATTAGCTCCTCGAGTTCCCATGTTACCAATACTATCAACAGTAAGGTCGAAAGCTTCTGACTCTGAAAGTCGCAGAGGTAAGCAATATGCTTATATATCTAGAGTCCCTTCTTTTTCAAATTAAATAAAGACACAAGTTTTACTGAATGCCTTAAAAGACAAACAAATAGGTAAGTTACATAAGGTATTCAACCATCACGAGTTTGGAAACAATATACGAATGCATTGATACTTTTTTTTTACATTTGTACTGTTTGCGATCGAAAAGAATGTTCGCAGATAATATTGTCAAAACGTAACAGGATTGTAAACTAATGTCAATAAGTAAACGTGTTCTTTAGTCCATTAACTGCTAGTTGCCACAATAAAATGATAGCCGTAATATAGCTGGATGTCTATTTGCTCGTTTTCCTTGAACTACTTTGCATTTTGTTTTGTTGTTTGCTCTTCATTAACTTTCATATTTATACTGAATAGCTATTAACACTATCATATAATTCCTCTAGGAGCTCATGGGGGCATGGTTTAAACATTGCCCGTCAGATCAGAAGTGTGTACCACTGTCAAACAGAAGACCAGTCTGTATGGAAGGTAAGTTTTGCAAAATTATATATCCACTAATATCGACCATATCGAAATTATATTCGGAGAGGTAATATTTTCGTAAAAGGTAAACGCGTTTTCCTGGAGATTATTTTCGATTTAATTTCGTTGCTTTTGTTCTTTATACATAATTATGGAAAGGGGTATGTGCGAAAACTTTATTATTTGAAAGAATTACACTCGTCTGCTCCAGTTGTCCTTGTACATTACGGTTAATAGAAAAATACTGCCAAGATAAAAGTACTGAATCATTTCATATAGAAACAGTACTTTATACATATCAGTTCATGATTCATACAAATTATTACAGCGCTCAGTTGAAATACGAGGTTAGGAAACTTGTATTCTATCTAATAAGTAATTAAGTGGATCCACAAAGCCACACAAAGTAAACATTGGCTGCATCATGTGTTTTTTGTTACTTTTGAACTCATCAGTGGTAGTAAAGATTAAAAGAATAAAATAACATTTCTCGATTGCTCATGGAAAATAATGGATCCATAGGTAAAAAAAAATGTTTGTCCGATGTTTTCAAGATACGTTTACTGTTTCCTCACTGATATTTTCCTTTCTAAGTATTAATTTGTAGTCTGATGTTCACGCAACTGCAGTAGTTGCGTCTGGAAAGGTTTATTCTATTTTCTTTTTCAGGCGTGCCTTCGCCCTGTGCTGATATGGCACAAATTGTACTTGGGTTATGCTAATTTCGGTATCTGTAACCGCACGACAGGGGTTGCTAGCCGTAAACTGCATCCATGATACTCCAGAACAAAGGGGGAAAGCTTAATAATAACGAGATTCATGCGCGAAATATAGGCTATTCCAAATACACAAACATAAGATACAAATACCACGTGATCTGTACTTGTACAGCCGTTCATCTCAATGACTTCAATGTATTTACGCAGAAGACGGAAAACCGACATGATTCATTTTTAACATCTGGATATGAAATATATGTTTCGATTGCTACTGAAAACGTTCACAGGGACTCGTGCAGGGCGTTTGGGGTCATTGGAAACATGACTATTCCTCTACCTTACAAAACTTAACAAAATACTCTTTTGAAAAGGACAAAATCGAAAATCATTGGAGGTAAGATATTATTGAAAATAATTTCAATAACTCAGTTAAAATGTATAGGAATAAAGCTGATACGCGGTTATATCATTGTCAACGCTTTTTAGGTAACCCAAAAGGGAGTATATAATAATGAATCTTTTGTATTGTTATGTGACTTAAGTCTTTGATAATTTATATAGAGTGAACAAGCATATTACATTGTTTGTTATGTTCACACTTAAACCTACTCGCTGATCGATCAGTTAAAGATACTTGTATCACTGCCAAAAATAGAACTATTCATTTGAAACAATTGTTGCTGGCCTGTCTATAGCTTTGATAAATCATTTTTAAAAAGAAAAGTTTACCTTGCGGGACTTTTACGAAAACATATTGGAGATGAAATAAATAAACTAAAAATCAACAATTATGTTCTGAGTGTAAACTCTTATGCGTGGCCAGACTAGGGTTCGAATCCGGGACTTTATATTGTTATACTGTCGCTGAAACCGATTGGGTTACCTTGACAACGCAAGTGTACGAGCCCAAATGTGCTACAGTTATATTAAAACGGAAGTTAATTAAAGGCGAAAAAACGACAGTGCAGTGGTACAGGGATCCTTAAATGTGAAAATATTTAACAGATTTTTGATATAGTAGCAACAAATCTACTGCATTACCCTATGCCGGTAATATTTCACAAAACTAAAAATGTAATAAAAACTACTATT